TAAATCAATTTTTCTTTCCTTGCGACAATTGTTGCGCACTTGTGACATTCCTTTAATCTCCTTTCAGGTCTTATTCATTTTATCTCAGCTTGATCTCACCTTTTGATTATTTTGATCTCATCCTCGTCGCCAATTTGGTTGTGTCGTGAGATTTGTCCGCTTATTTCATAGCTGAGACTTTTTCTTCCGTTCGAGCTGTACCTATATTGCGTAGTTGTCGTAGTGAGTCGTAGGTCGTAGGTCGTAGTCGTAGGTCGTAGTGAGTCAGCACCGAAGCTGAGACTAGCAGCTGCTTTGTCTTTAGGAAGGCGGCACGCTCAGAAGCCCCCCCCCCCCCCCCCCAGGCCCAGGCTGCTCCCTTCCGTTCCGGTGCATACAACGGGGCTGCCACAGTGGCCAGACTGGGAAGGAAGCGACCGTAGTATTGCAGGAGCCCCAGTAGGCCTTCAGCTCCGACAGATTTCTCGGCTCCGGGGCCTCCTGCACAGCAGCTGTTTTCTCCGCCGTGGTTCGCACACCGGCGGCTGAGATGCTGAACCCGAGGTATTTAACCTCAGACGCCAACCAGACCGGCTTCTCCTCATTGACTAGGAGGCCTGCCGAGTTGAGACGGCGCAGCACCTCGCGAACATTTTCTCGGTGGGCAGCTGGGTTGGGGCCCGTCACTGCGATATCGTCGAGGAATACTGCTACGTTCGGTATCCCCGACAGCAACGTCTCCATTTCTCGCTGGAAGATCAAAACGGCACTCTTGACGCCAAAAGCTAGCCGATTTGGACGAAACAGCCCTTTGTGTGTGTTGATGGTAAGCACTTCTTTGCTTGCATCATCGAGCTCTAGCTGGAAGTAAGCCTCACGGAGATCGATCTTTGTAAACATCTGGCCACCCGCCATGGCGGCGAACAGCTCGTCGACTCTCGGTAACGGATACTTTTCAAGCTGACTGCCTTTGTTAACCGTTTGGTCATAACTACCACAGAGCCGGAGGGTACCGTTTGCCTTCTTCACAGGCACCACTGGCGCATCCCAGCGCGAGGTTTTCACTGGCTCCAGAATTCATTCTGCGACTTGTCTCTCCAGTTCCTTTTCGATCTCCTCCCGCAGTGCAAAAGGCGGAGGCCGATGTTTGAGAAAGATCGGCTTCACTGTCGGATCTATCTCAATAGACACCTTCCGGACATTATAGCGACCGATGTCCGGCTTTAAGAGGTCACTGAACTCGGCGCGGTCCTTCTGCAGAGCGGCTTCTAGATCTGCTTCTGGTGAGGAGAGGCTATGCAGTGAGTCGACGCTGAAAAGGGACCTCCAATCCAGCTTAATCGCGACCAGCCATTCTCGCCCCAGCAGAGGCGGCCCTGTCGTGTCTGCCACAACAACAGGTAGCATCGCCTTCTGATCCTGGTAGGCGACTTCCAGTGTGGCCACGCCCACCACTGGAACTTGCTCTCCAGTGCAAGTCCGCAGAGGGCGATCCAACGGTTTCAAGTCAGGCTTGCTGATCCACATGCTGGTGAGCATGGCCTTGCTGATGATGGAGCGGCTGGCGGCCGTATCCACCTGCATGGTGATTGTCCTGCCATTCATTCGAACATCGACCACCACCGGAGCTGTTCTGTCTGCCACCGTGTTGATGCCGTAGCCTCCTCTTCTCCCTGGCGGGCTCCCTCCATCTTCTGACACTTCTTGTGTCAGAAGTCATTCTATGTCAGAATCTTGGCATCTTCTGACACTTCATACGCACTATCTCTCAATTGTCGGCTTCGGTTTCGGCAGGCACTTCTCGTGTGCCCGACTCCATGGCAGGCATAACACTCGGCGTGTTTGAATGGGCAGTCTCCGCTAACATGGCGCCTGCTGAGGCACCGATAGCACGCCGGCAACGGTGTAGCGCGAGGGTCTTGTCGTGACGCGGGGCTCCGGCCTGCACTCAGAAACAGTTTTTAGATCATTCGATGATTGGTTTACTCCGAGGTATCCGGCCAGTCTCAATTTCCGGTAAATGCTCTTGACACGGAGACATTAGATGTCGAAATTTCCAGAAAGCCAAGGTTTAGTATGCCGACTATCTCAATCAATCTCAACATCGATACAGCGACCTTCTTTGAGATAACATTGGAAGTTTTTAAGGCCGTGCCGTTGTCCAGAAGACCCCCCAGGTGTCTCCATGAACGAATGTCTTGACGGTCCGCGGATTCGATCCGCGCGCTGCACATCAAAAGAAATTCTTGGTAGCGATCCCCCGTCCAGGAGATTTCCCAACAACTGCGCATTTGAACGCATTTGAACGGCAAAATGCCATCAAAGGTGAACAAACATCCACTCTATCACTGCACATCATCCACACTTGGCCAACGACCAACGTCACCACAAACGCTGCCAATCTCTAAAAAAAACACGACCGAAGTCGTTACGACAGCCTGTCAGCCGCCGCCGCCGCTGGTACAGAATGCCGTCTGTGGCCTCTACAAAAAGGTGCCTCGGTAGCTCAATGGGTAGAGTTGCGGATCGTTAATTGAAAGGTTGCCGGTTCGATTCCGGGTGCGCCGCGACTTTTCCCATGTATACCAACGTATGGTCTCCAAAGAGACCAATGTACAGCCCTCTGCAAACTGCGTGGTAGGTATTCTTTTCTCGACAAAACCGAGAATAACGCGGATACTATGCTATCGGTCGCTCGGAAATCATAACAGCAAGATGCGCGAGACTCCGCACCTTAGATTGGCATTACCATCGCATTCATTTTCCATCCAGTTTGGCAACAAAATCCGAAAGTTTATATTGGCCCCCAAAACAAACTTTTGCATTTTGTTGCCACACAAGGCATATACTTTGTTTGGTGATATACCCAATCGAAGGAGTAGAGCATGGCGCCTCTATTTTCAGTGAGTTCCGACCGACTGACAACATAGTCTTTGAGTTTTACTGGTTTTGTCGAAAAAAGAATACCTACCACGCAGTCTGCTGAGGACTGTACACCAGCGTATGGTCTCCAACGCATTATCTCCAAAGAGATAAAAATGTTGGTGGTTTAACTGAAGCCCAAATAAAAAACAAAATTGTCTAAAAAAGGGTGGCTCTTTGCAAAGACGTGCCAGGTGCCTCCGAGACAACCTAATGGGCTTTTCTGTTTCTGAGTGTGGGGTCGCTGACGGTGAGAGATCCCGTGGACTCTGAGTTGTCCCACGGGGCTGCGACCACTGACCACGATACTGAAAGGCTGCCGTGGCCCGGCGATGCGCTATCAATGATAACCTGTCATGTTCATACCCACCTCAAGTGGCTCAGTGGGCTGGGCGGCCGAATTCAAGCTCTCAACCTGAGCTCTAATTTGCTCTTCCTGCTTAGCCAGTTGCAAGGCTTCGCAAAGAGTCAGCGTCGGTTTTCCGAAGAATTTCTTTTGCAGCTCCCTGTCCGCACAGTGGGCTACAGCGCACTCCAGCACGACTGCGTCCCGCTGTTCGGCTGCATATTTACAGCGGTCTGCCTGGAATCTGGATACGGAGACGAGACACAATTCTGCGAAGCTTTCTCCAGCCTTCCGGGCAATTGCACGGAGCTGAGCCCGCTCGTACGTAGGGTTTACTGCAGTTTCGAAATGTACTGTCAGTTTAGCGGTCAGTCGGCTATACTCATCGGAGGCTTCTTCCGGTGCAGCGGTGGGTGGGTCGGGCAGCGTTCTGGCGAGTTCCTGGACTTCCAGTCCGAGCAGCGTGAGAACTGTTGCGGCTTTTCGGGCGCTTGAGGTGATATCTGAGGCTAGCATGTAGCATTCGCAGCCTCTGAGCCATCTTGCGAAGTCTTGGCCAGCCTCATAAGGCGGGGGCGTGGGCAAACCGTGCGATTGAGCCATTTCAATCACCGTAAGCGCGGGCGGCAGACGCAACAATAATAACGTTAGCTGCACGGGCGAGGGGTGCAGACCTTCTTTACAAGACATTCTTTCTCGACCGAACAATTCGGCAAGATGGTCTTGTAAACACCCCTCACGCTGCACGTGGATTTTAAATTGGATTTCCTCATACCTATCTGAAAGAAAGCAGAGAGTGGTGGTTCATGGGAAGTGTTCAGACTGGGTAAATGTGAGCTCAGGAACCCCGGAAGGCGGTCTACTTTCACCTCTGCTCTTTGCTTGTTTTATCAACGATCTATCCGGTGTGATTGAGACCGATGTCCTTATGTTTGCGGATGATGTTTAACTGTGCAGTAGAGTTGATAGCCTGACGGACGCGCACTTCTTGCAGACTCAGCTGGACTCACGATGTTCGTGGTCAGATATGTGGAGACTGACTCTGAACCCGGAAAAGTGCAAGGTGCTGAGTCTGACACTGCGGCGCAATCCAGTGATGGCAGCTTACGCGATCGGAGATGTTGTGCTTGACGCGTTCAAGTGATGCGAGATCTGGGTGTATTCTTAGACCAGAGGCTCACGTTTGGCGAGCATGTCGACCGCGCTGTACGGAAGGCCAACATGGCTCTGGGACTGCTCATGCGCACGTACGCAACAGGAAAGCGGGGCCGTTCTTTCAATATGACGAACTATCGTGCCATCATGTCGACTTACTTCGCTAATGTCCGTTCAATTCTTGAATATTGCAGTGTGGTGTGGGCTGGAACGGCTCAAACACAAGGATCAAAGACAAGGATCGAATGTGTCCAGGAAAGTTTCCTAGTTTGGCTCTGTGCCCGCTGCCGTGTACACTGTACATACAGGGGTTTCCTTGGACTATGGTGAACTAGTCACATGCTTTAAGGTCAGCACTATTTGTCATAACCGGCTCTCGCCTCTACCGGCGGCCTCCCTCCCTCTCTCCCTCGCATACTGGTCACCCCTCTCGTCCCAGTGGACTCGCCCGGTGCCTCGGGCAGTATCTGTGACACGACCTCGGGTGAGCGGCCGGGAAGCAATACAGTTTTGAACGGGACGCCGTGCTGTCTACTTAAATGGCGACGAGGCGGTGAACGTGTGCGCCGCGCGGTGATTAGTGGCAAGGGAAGCAGTGATGGCGTCAGTGAGCCGGGTGCCCGAGTTTGATGCGGCAGTGGAGTCGTTCGGCGCGTACAGCAGGCGTCTCGAACAGCACTTTGTCGCCAACAGCGTCGGTGAAGATGAAGTCGAGAAGCGCCGCGCCATACTGCTGAGCGCGGTTGGCGCCAGCACCTTCAGCCTCCTGGAGGACCTCATAGCTCCAGCCGCAGTGGGAGACAAAACGTTCAAGGAGCTTGTGAAGATATTGGTCGACCACTTTGAACCGCAACAATCTGCAATTGTCTCCAGATTTCGGTTTCACTCCTGCACTCGCGATGCTGGAGAGTCAGTGTCGTCGTTTTCGGCGAGGCTCCGCAAGCTTGCGAAGCCCTGCAAGTTTCAGCCAGGCCAGCTGGACGAGATGCTTCGTGACCGACTGGTTTGCGGTATTCAGCATGAGCGGCTGCAATCACGTCTGCTGAGCGAGCCGCGGCTGACTCTGGACACGGCTCTGGAGATCGCTCAGGCCCACGAGTCGGCAGCAGCCAGTGCAGCCGAGCTCAGCGGCCGCTCCGAGTCGTCTGCCGTCATCGGACGAGTCGATGGGACACCACGGAGGATGGTGAACGACAGCCGACCAGCCCTGGTGAACGACAGCCGACCAGCCCTGGTGAACGACAGTCGGCGAGCACTGGTGAACGACAGCCGGCGAGCACTGGTGAACGACAATCGGCGTCCCCTGGACACCGGCGGGGCTGCCTCCCGCGCTCCGCCGGCGCGGGGTGCCTGCAGCCGCTGTCTCAGCCGACGGCACGTCCCGGCGGCCTGCCCCTTCCGCTCGCAGAACTGTTATGCGTGCGGAGCCGTGGGCCACACCAGAGCGGCCTGCCGGAGCCGCGCCGAGTCTCAGCGTGTCCGGCTGCTGGAGGAGGAGGAGCAGCCGGAGCCGTCCGTGACGCCTGGGACTTCTCAGAGTGGCGCGGCGCCCCACAATGACGGTGAGGACGAGCCATATTACTTGTTCCGTGCTCAAGGGGTGCAGTTGGGAGTAGATCGTAAACCACCACTAATGGTGGATGTATGTGTGGACGGCTGCCCGCTGCGTATGGAGTTAGATACGGGAGCTGCATTGTCTGTTTGCTCAGAGAAAGTGTTCAAGGGTACTTGGCCGGTCGGTGGGCCCCATCTTAGCCCATGTGACAAACTGTTGAAAACTTACAGCGGTGAGGTGTTAGGGGTGTCTGGTCAGGCGATGGTGGATGTTCAGTATGGCGGGCAGCGAGCGCAGCTGCCGCTGGTGGTAGTTAAGGGCGAGGGACCATTTCTTTTTGGTCGAAACTGGCTGTCGACTATACGACTTGACTGGCCCTCCATATGTCAGCTTACCGACCGCTCTCGGGCTCAGACGCTCGTTCATGAGTTTTCTGAAGTTTTCAGCGATGGTTTGGGGTGCTATCGTGGCGCTGAGGTGACCATTTCGGTGGATCCCGATGTGAAGCCGAGATTCTTCAAAGCTCGCACAGTCCCACTGGCATTCCGCGAGCAGGTGGATGCCGAGCTGGAGAAACAGATCCAGCAAGGACTGTGGGAGCCGGTGGAGCACAGTAAGTGGGCCGCCCCCCTAGTCGTCGTGCCAAAACCAGGGGGAAAGATCAGGTTATGTGGGGACTATCGCCTCACGGTCAACAGGGTGGCCAAGGTGGACCAATATCCGCTTCCACGCGTGGAAGAGCTGCTTACACGCTTAACGGGCAGTAAGGTCTTTTCAAAGATAGACCTTAAGTCCGCGTACAACCAGATGGTTCTCGATCAGAGTTCACGTGACTTTCTGACCGTAAACACCCAGAGGGGATTGCTGAGACCCACGAGACTTAGCTTCGGTTACGCTTCAGCCCCGTCCCTGTTCCAGAGAACCATGGACACGCTGCTAGCGGGGATACAGGGTGTGTGTGTGTTCCTCGATGATGTTGTCGTGGCGGGTGAGACTGTGGAAAGTCATGATGTAGCGCTGCGTGAGGTGTTGCGCCGGCTGCGTGAGGCGGGTCTCAGGGCGAACCGGGACAAGTGCTGTTTGGGCGTGGACAGCGTAACGTACCTGGGTCACAAGGTCAGCGGGAGCGGCGTGGAGACGACTGAGGAAAAGGTCGCTGCCATCACGGGCGCGCCAGAGCCCCGAGATGTCTCCGAGCTGCGGTGCTGGCTCGGCCTTATCAATTACTACGGAAAATTTTTGCAGGGTTTGGCCACCACCCTTTCGCCGCTCTATGTTCTGTTACGGAAAAATCGTCCTTGGCGGTGGACGCACATTGAAAGGAGAGCTTTTGAGGATGCGAAACGTTTGCTCAAAAGCCCTCCCGTTTTGGGACATTTTGACCCAAAACTCCCTGTGATTTTGGCATGTGACGCCAGTCCAGTGGGATTGGGGTGCATTCTTAGCCAGCAAACGAGGCAAGGGGAGAGACCGATCGCGTTTTATTCGCGCTCTTTAAACGAGACTGAAAGGCGCTACTCCCAGACCGACCGGGAGGGTTTGGCGGTGGTGGCCGGTGTAAAGAGGTTCCACTATTATCTGGCGGGCCGTCCGTTTTCAATACGGACCGATCATAAGCCCCTGCTGGGGCTGATAGGTGAGTCCAAGCCGCTCCCACTGATGGCATCGCCCCGGGTGGTCAGGTGGGCCCTTATGCTGGGAGCGTATGATTATCGCCTTGAATTCGTCCCCGGCGTTAAACAAACTCACTGTGACGCGCTCAGTCGGCTGCCCGTCCCGTCGTCGGTGGTCGGTCAGTCGAGCCCCGTTCCGGCGGAGACGATACATTTGATGGAGTTTTTAGACGCGTCTCCGGTCACTGTGGACCACATTCGCCGGTGGACCTCTAGAGACCCTGTCTTGGCTGTCGTGCTTCAGTATGTTCAGGAGGGCTGGCCGGATGACGGGGAGGTGCTGTCGCCAGATTTCCGACCTTTTAGGTCCCGTAAAGCCGAGCTGAGCATTCAGGATGGTTGTATATTGTGGGGTTCGCGCGTTGTGATACCGCCACAGGGAAGGGCAAAAATTTTGAGTCTTCTACACGACGGGCACTGCGGAGAGACGCGCACCAAGTCTTTCGCAAGAATGTATGTGTGGTGGCCTAACCTCGATCAGGACATCACATCCATTGCACAGAATTGTGGCAAATGTCAGGCTTATCGTGCCAACGTACCTGAGACTCCGCTGCACCCATGGATTTGGCCATCAAAACCATGGGAGCGTGTGCACGTAGATTATTGTGGTCCAATTGATGGCTGGTGGGTATTAATTGTCATTGACGCTCATTCAAAGTGGATGGACGTGTTTCCGTCGCGATCATGCACGTCCGAGACCACCATAGAACATTTGCGCGCTTCATTTTCCTCGTGGGGGCTGCCAAAGACTCTTGTGTCTGACAACGCACAATGTTTCTTGTCTGAGACTTTTCAGACGTTCTGTCGCTCGAATGGCATTCATCATTTGACTTCTCCTGCACTGTCTCCGAAATCTAACGGTTTGGCGGAGCGTAGTGTTCAGACATTGAAAAACAGTATTAAAAAGCAAACTTCGGGCACGATTCACACCAAAATAGCGCGTTTCCTGCTGCGCTATCGCACAACACCGCACACAACCACCCAGGTGTCCCCAGCGGCATTATTCCTTGGCAGGACGGTGCGAACCCCGCTGGATCTGGTCAGGCCTGATCTGAGTGGTAGAGTGAGGAAAAACCAGGACAAACAAAAACTGTACGCCGACAGGGGCTCCTATGAACGTTCCGTGTGCGTAGGCGATGCTGTGTTTGTGTCAGCCGTTGATCGTGTACAAAGTGCTGCTGGTTGTAAATGGCTGCCGGGTGTGATAGTGGTGCGGAAGGGAGTAAAACTGGCTGTTCAGTTGCAGGATGGGAGAGTGATCTGGAGGCATCTGGATCGGGTCCGGCCGCGCCGGACTATGGCCGACGTACCGCCGCCGACCGCTGGACGGGCGCTGGACCTGGATCGGACGCGGCGGGACCTGTTTGATGCCGACGTACCGCCGAGGGCCGGACTGACGGCTCGGGCGGTGGCCCCGGCTGTTCCGGACGGGTCACCGTCGGTCCCGGCGGGCGGACCGCCGCCGGCGCCGCGATACAATCTGCGTCCGCGAGAGACGTTACGGCGGCCGGACCGGCTGTTGTGTGAGTGAAGTGTGTGAGCTCTCCGTGCCTGATATCGTTAAAAGTGACCAGAGTTTTGTTGTTACGTTAGTTGTGATTATGTTATATTGCGGGGTGGAGGGATGTCATAACCGGCTCTCGCCTCTACCGGCGGCCTCCCTCCCTCTCTCCCTCGCATACTGGTCACCCCTCTCGTCCCAGTGGACTCGCCCGGTGCCTCGGGCAGTATCTGTGACACGACCTCGGGTGAGCGGCCGGGAAGCAATACAGTTTTGAACGGGACGCCGTGCTGTCTACTTCACTATTGTTGCCCGACACCACCAGTAAGATATCATTTTTTTATAAGAAATGTCCACAGACATCGATAGACTCACCGTTTCTGGTAGAGAAGCTACCAATCGCTGTACCCACTCGCCAACTGCGTACTCAGGCCCTGTTCGCTGTTTCATTTGCACGCATTGAAACGGTTCGTTCCTGCGCCTTTAACCGCATACCAGAGGCATGCAACGCTTTTCTTCTTTTCTTGATGTGAACAGAGATGTGGATGTCTGGGAGAGCGGCGCAGTGGAATTCAGAACTAGAGTGAAACGGCATGTGATGGGAGTCTGACAGATGACGGTATTCCTGTAACCATTTCTGGCAGGTCCCGAGTCAAGAGATTTTACTGTGTTGCGATTGTTTTTTCTGTGTTGTGTCATGTGTATGGCTATTTATTGAATTTTATGAAAAGACTGCTCCTGTTACTGGGTATCTGCCCGTTGGTGTTAAATAAAAATAAACAATAACAATTTATTTTGCATTAATGTCGGATGCTTTTGCAGCAATCTTACCGCCAATTATTCATTTCAATTAGTTTCTAGAGGTCTTTAAAACACGAAGCCTTCGGCGGGGGAAAGCCAAGATGAGTGAAAGAACACCTTGGCACATCTATAGGGATCTCCGGCTGTGCGGCGGCTGTGACTTCGGCCAGTAAGGGGAGTAGCGCCCCCTCGGCCCCAGTTTGGCGCGCGTTTTGACCTGGACTTGCCTTGCTTACTGGATGGATTGTCTGCAGGATTGGCCCCGCAGGGGGTTGGCAGTGGCCGGGGTCGCTGTTGGACTGGGTTCCTTGGGCCTTTTCCCCGCGGCGGCCCTGGCCTCGGCCAGCAAGGGGAGTAGCGCCCCCTCGGCCCCAGCTTGACCCATGCTTGCTTACGACTTGCTTTGATCGCTGGATGGACAGATGGTACGGTCCGACTTTTCTTGGTTTTCGTGGTTTTGTTTCTCTTGAGCGGTCTTTGTCTGCTTTTGCTTTGCTTCTCACCGGATGTCCGCGTTTCGTTCGATCACAGCTTTCTGATTCTTTCCCTACCTTTTTCGGTGTTTTTGCACCCGCAGGAACACAGCCGAGTTGGGCTAGTTACGGAGCGAGCGAAGCGAGCGGAGTCTTTCCTTAGATTAAAATTTCTGAGTATGAGCGGCCGGCCGGCCGGCCGGCCGTGCGGACGCTTTTGCGAGGCTTATATCTCAGCAACCACTTGACCGATTTACATGCGGTAATTTTTGTAGGGTAGCTTCATGCTTTCTACCAAGTATTGGACTATTCCCGATGCATGTGGGTGACCCCTTATGCACGTGCCACGTGCAAAACGAAGAGGTGTCAGTTTTGTAATTGCTGCAATATCTCGGTAACTACTGGGCCGATTGCGCTGAAAGTTGGCATGTAGGTAGGCACCCACTAGGCACTGCATATCCATGTGCCAGAGTTGGGGTGCTGCTGCACGTGCGCACGTGCAGGGGTCGATTCCAGATCTCGAGAACGGCTGATCCGATTGCGCTCAAATTTGGTACGTGGTTAGGGACCGGTTAGTAGGGTGCCGTGCACAAGTCAGTTTGCACGTGCGCATTTTGCACGTGCGCACGTGCAGGGTGCCGCCTCCAGATCTCGAGAACGGCTGGGCCGATTGTGCTCAAATTTGGCACATCGCTAGAGACCGGTTAGTAAGGTGCCGTGCACAAGTCAGTTGGAGGTACCCCCTCGAAATTTCGCACGTGCAAGGCCCACCCTCTCGCTCGCTCCGTTAGTCGCCCCAAAAGGCGTTATACTGGTGTAAGGGGAGTGGCGTCCCCTCGGGTACCAGCCGGTTTTACTAGGCTAGGCGAGCCGACCCGTACCCCAGGACAACGGGATCCTGGAGGTTAAGCCCCCCACCGTGCGGAGCCAGTCGCGGTGGCTGGGCAACACGCCTCTTTGGCCCTGAGTTCTGTAAGGGCGGGACACTCAGTGGGGCGCCGCACTTGAGGAGCCATTCCCAGTCGTGATGCCGCCGGGGGTGGTGTCGGAGAGGTGTCGCCGGCGGGGTTCGGGCACTTGTGCTCGTCCTCCGTCGGTGGGACGGATCTGTCGCTGCCCCTGGCGGTGACTCGGCGAGGCGTCAAGGGAGGAGGCGGTATCCGACCGTGGGGGGTGGTGAGTCTCTCTCTCCCCCGCGGAAGGTGCCGCCAAGTCCCGTACAGTCAGCTCGGCCGTCCCAGGCCTTGTAGCGGCGCCGTTGCGGAGCGTCGGCGGCCGAGCTGGCGGAGACCAACTCACACTGCATGGATTCTGAACTCCCTCCCCCGACCCCTACCTCGACCTCGACCTCAACCACGACCACCTCGACCTCGGCGACCACTTCGACCTCGGCGACCACTTCAACTCCGGCCCCGCCTGGATGTCCTCGCCCCCAGACCTCGACTGAGGCAACCCCTCGACCACCCGGTGATCTTGGGAGGCCGCTGCCTCACTTTCTGCTCATGAGCTCAACCGATCAGGATGAGTCTGGCCAGCCAGTGCCGCTCAAACTCAATCCGTTTCAAAGAGAGCAGGCACTCTCGCCTCACTGTCAGCCTCAGCGTGTAACCCAACGCCCAGACGGGACCCTGGAAATCCACCTGACGAACCAAACTGAGATCCGGAATATGCTTGCCCTCAAAGAAATATCATTCAAGGCACGAGATAAGCAGGTTCGCAAAATAGAGGTCAAAGTTGAGCCACATCCGTTCAAAAATTCAGTGCGGGGAGTGATCACATGCCCGGACCTCCGCGGCGTGGCGGACGACGAAGTCGTGGACGGAATGGAAGGGCAAGGTGTCACCCATGCCCGCCGCATCCGCCGTAAGGTGAAAGGATCTCTTATGAACACCGACTCAATCGTTTTAACTCTGAACCGCCCCACCCTCCCGCGGGAGGTCAAGGTTGGCTATCTTGTGGTTCCCATTCGTGCCTTTCTTCCGGATCCAGTCCGGTGTTTCAAATGCCAGGCCTTCGGGCACGTCTCCTCGAAGTGCCGGGGAACACAGCGCTGTGGGGTCTGCTCAGCTGAGGGGCATGGCTCTGACGCTTGCCAATCGGACAGTGTCAAATGTGCTAACTGCGGTGGCCAGCACCGGGCATGGCACCGCAAATGCCCTAAGTTTGTGTTCGAGGCTGAGGTGCGCGCATTGATGACGAAGGAGAACGTCTCCTTTCGCGAGGCGCGGGACAGGGTGCGACAGCGCACTCCCGCACCTTCGCTTTCATACCGAGATGTGGCCGCTCGGCCACCCCAACCTGCTGCAAGCCGGGTCGCCCTCGGACCCGGAGTGAGTGGTGCCCTCAGGAAGGCCGGCAATCTTCGCCAGCTTTCTGTAGCAGAGCTGATCCAGCTCCTCTCGGGGCTCATTGAGGATGACACTCCGCCGGCTCCCGCAGCCGATTCTGTGCCAGCAGCGCCTGCTGCTGATGCACGTCGCCGGGCAGAATCTGAGGATGACTGGACCGTGGTTCACCCACGGCGCCGCCCGTCGAGGCGCCAGTCTCCAACAGCCACTGTACCACCATCTCCGGGATCTGACAGGGCGATCAGCCCAGCAATGCTGGAAACCCTGAAGCGAGGAGAGGAGGAGCGACGGGCGAGGGACGCCAAACGTGCCAGACTGGCCGAGAAGGCCAGGGAGGGGAGGCCGTCCCCAGCGGTGAACGCCCCGGCCGGCTCTCCGGCCATGCCCCCTCCCCCTCCCCCGCCTCTCCCGAGGCGGCCCCCTCCGCCGTCCCTTGGGGCAGCATCCGGTTCCCTCAGCGTGCCGGATCCTGCACCGAGCCCCCCAAGCTCGGTGCTGGCCGAACGCAGGCGTTCGGCCAAGCGTGGTCCCCCGTCGCCGCCAGAGCAGGGCCCTGGCCGGGTGCGGTTTGGCAACCGAACCGTTTCAGGCCCTGTGGGACCTCGGTCCCAGTCTGCCGACGGCCGACAGAGAACTAGCCACGCGAGGATTCAATACGAATCCTCTGGGGAGGTGATCTTCTAGTCGTTTTTCTACTCAATCTTTTAAACAGTTTTATCGCCTTCTTGGGCTGTTTTACGTCTGGACGGGCTTTTAAAGCGCTTCTGCGCCTCTTTTACTGTCTTCTCCATGCAGAGTTTCTTACAGTGGAACTGTAGAGGACTCCGCAGTAGCCTTGTTGATTTACAGACGGTGATCCGTCGCGACTGTCCTCTCCTGGTCTGTCTACAGGAGACGAAGCTGAAGCCAGAGCATCACCTACATTTCAAAGGGTATTCCATTTTCAGGAAGGACCTGGATACCGACTCAGTTGCTCACGGTGGTGTTCTCGTGGCTGTCAGCCATAGAGTTTCGACGAGACCAATCCCGGTCAGATCCCCGCTTCAAGCGGTCGCTGTTCGGGTGGCTCTCGGTCACCGGGAGCTAACCTGTTGTTCGCTGTACTGCCCACCAGGGGAGTCTCTCCCTGTGCAGGATCTTCGTATGTTACTGGCAGAGCTACCTCAGCCAGTTTTGATTTTAGGCGATTTTAACTCTCACCACTCTGCATGGGGATGTCAGACAGATTGTACCCGTGGTCGACTTTTAGCATCTTTTATTGGCGATGAGGACTTATGCGTCCTTAACTCCGGTGCTCCAACTCATTTTACTCTACCTTCTGGCCAGACATCAGTTCTAGATCTCAGTCTTAGCAGTCCGCAGCTCGCTCCTCTTTTCACGTGGCGCGTTGCTGCGCACCCAATGGGCAGCGACCATTTTCCGATCTGGCTGGACCTCCGGGAGCATGGCTCAGTTGGCTGTCGGCCACCCAGGTGGAACTTAACGAAGGCAGACTGGACCGAATTCGAGGCGAGACTGACAGAGTCATTCTCAGATGTTTCAACATACAGTTTGTCGGTCGATGATTTCACGTCCAAACTCGTCGAGGCTGCCGAAGCCTGCATACCCCGCAGTTCCGGTATGCCCCGACGACCACCAGTTCCGTGGTGGAGTGATGCCTGTTCTGATGCAATTCGTGCCCGAAAGCGTGCTTACCGTGCCTTTCAGCGGAATAGTTCCACGGCCAATATGATAGCTTTTAAGAGAGCCAGAGCGGTTGCCAAGCGCACTATCAAAGAGGCCAAGATCTTATCTTGGAAACGGTATGTCAGCACTCTTAATCGTTTTACTCCAATCGGCGAAGTATGGTCGCGCATAAAGCGCATCTCGGGCCGGCACTCCTCTGTACCCTTACCCGTGCTGAAGGTGGATGGAAGGGACATCATGGAGCCAAACGCCGTTGCTTCGGAGATAGGCCGCGCCCTCTATCGGCGGTGTGGTGATGAGTCCCTCGACGAATCCTGTGTCAGGCACCGCTCGTCTTGTGAAGCTTCTGGGGTCAATTTTAGCACCTCCGACGTTTTGAGCTACAACGATACTTTTACCATGGTTGAGCTCAAGTCAGCTATAAGCTGTCTTAAATGTGTCGCAGAAGGCCCGGATTCTGTCCACAATGAGATGCTTCGCCATCTCCCTCCGGTTGCTCTGGATGCTCTCCTTCAGCTGTTCAACCTCCTATGGATGACGGGTGTTTACCCAAACTCCTGGCAGGAGGCAGTTGTCATCCCTGTTCTGAAAGCAGGGAAGAGCGGTTTGGACCCTCTGCACTACCGCCCAATTGCGCTCACATCCGCCGTTGGAAAGCTGTTGGAAAAGCTGGTGAATATCCGACTTACCTGGCATCTGGAGCGGCACGGACTTCTTGCGAATTCTCAGTGTGGTTTTAGAAAGCACCGGAGTACTGTCGACCACGTTCTTACTCTTGACTCAGTTGTCCGCTCGAATTTTAAACAAGGTCGTCAAGTAGGCGCCTTGTTCTTCGACATTGAAGCAGCGTATGATACCACTTGGCGATTCGGTATCTTACAGAAGCTGCATAAGCTAGGCATTCGAGGCACGATGGGTCATTTTCTAAGCAGTTTTCTTGGTGATCGTTTCTTCCGTGTTCGTGTGGGCAACCAGTTATCTGAGCGGTTCGCCCAGATTAATGGAGTCCCACAAGGCGGTGTGCTCAGCGTGACGCTTTTTGGTGTCATGATCAACGACATTGAAAAGGTCCTCTCTCCAGCCATCGGCCGCGCTCTTTACGTCGATGATTTCGCTATTTGGTGCAGTGCGGCGTCGACTCGATCAATGGAGCGACAGCTGCAGATGGCAGTTGCTCGAGTGGAGGCATGGGGCAAGGAGAACGGCTTCCGGTTCTCCTCTGCAAAGACGGTAGGCATGCAGTTTTCCCGTAAGCGTCGCCCCACTGCACCCATGGTGGTGAGGCTCTACCGTGAAGCCATACCAGTGGTTGCGGAGGCCAAGTTCAAGGCTATAGAACTCCAGGTAAGGACACCAGCCGTTTGACCTTGAACGCCGCCGGCCGGCCGATGACGTCATTGGAGGCAAGCAGACTCGGCGGACACACAAGGGGAATGCATAACGGAGGGGCGTTGGAACGCTGCGGGAGCCGGGGAGATATTTTAATGTGGTTGCATACCACCATTGTTATGTTGATTGATCTACAGACTGCATTCTTTTAAACCTCGATGCATCCTAGGCCTGGATGGTGCGTACATTCGTGGAACGATCACCCCGTCCGACGTCCGTGGTCGAAGCTGTCATAGTATTAAAGACACTAAGACTGGTGCAATAACGGCGATCCGATCCCGTCTCTGGCGAATCTAGAGGGGTGGTAAGGACCCAGGCCGAATCTGACCGTCTATTTTTAGGGAAACGGGGTGGGTGAATTGACAACCGATGGCTTAAGAGATGATGAGAAGGGATCCCGTCGTCGATTGTTGTTTGACAGACAACACATGTTGTACTGGTCGTATGACCATCAGAGGTAATGCCTGAACGTAGGCAAGCATAATTGGTCTGTCATACTGTTTAGGAATATAAAATGGTAATGGAGATCATTGAGGATATGATCTCTATTCGGGAATTCACTAATTACTACGGCCCTAATTACTACGGTACTAATTACTAATTACTACGGCAGTGTGATTAACCAACATTTCCTCAGAAAAGTTGTGAAGTTTTCTTTTATTCTCGAAAAGCGATTTCGGGCGCTGCCCTGGTTGTGGGGGGAAGACATTTGCCCCAAATGCCTTCCCCTGGATCCGCCAGTGGGTTGCCCCACTCCGAGCTTGATTTAAAACGTCTTCAAACCCCACCAGAAACCGATGGTAAGGTGAATTTAAATCCAATAACTCATCTCTGTGTGCCCGCCTAAATATACTACACATGGTACGGCACCCGGCCCTGTCGGAGCTATGAGCCAATCGTGATATTTTCGGCTTTCCCCATCCCAAGCTCGATTAGAAACGTTCTCCTTCCCCACCCGAATGCTGATGTCAATTCAAATTCAATGGCTCATCTCTGTCTGCCCGACCATAACCCATTCATTGCACACCGTTCAGCGCCCGGCCCCGCCAGAAGTATTCTAGCGCGCTGAGCAGTTGCCTCCAGCCGCGTCATCGCGAGGCCCCGCGCGGCCCATAAATGAATACATTGCGCGAATAGCCGTGTCGCCCCCCTGGCCAAGTTCCTTGGCATGACTCTTGACTGTCGACTCACATACCGAAGTCACATAAAGTGTCTCCGTGACAGATGTCTTAAAGCTCTTGACATTCTGAAATGTGTTGCTCGCATGTCCTACGGCGCTGACCGTAGTACGCTACTCCTTCTTTATCGGTCTCTGGTGCGGTCCCGTCTGGACTATGGATCTTTTATCTATGACAACGCTGCATCCTCATCCAAGCTTATCCTTGACACTGTCCACCACGCAGCGATTCGCATTGCGACTGGTGCTTTCCGAACCACTCCTGTCGTCAGCTTGTTAGCTGAGGCGAACGAGCCCCCTCTGGCCTTACGAAGGCAGATGTTGGGCATGCGATACGCCATCAAACTTCGTCAGTTCCCTTCCCATCCTGCTCACGGACCGGCTTTCTCCAGGTCGCTCTTAGCAGTCTTTGATGGCGACGAGAGGAGCCGCTCTCGAGTTTTCTGCACCCGAACGGCCGATCTCCTCCGAGATTGTGGCCTAAGCACTCGGGACATCATGCGAGTTGTTATCCTGCCTGAACCGCCTTGGAGGTTATCTGTCCCCTCTGTGGACCTAACCCTATCAGGCACACGGAAAGACCAAATTCTGCCTCTGGCCTTCAAGGCGAAGGCATTGGAACATATTGAATCATATTCAGGCCATGCCGTGGCATACACCGATGGGTCCAAGTCGGACCTCGGTGCTGGCTGTGCCTTCGTCTGCGGCGACGCTGTGCGATGTTTTACTTTATCTAAACATGCATCCGTTTTTACCTGCGAACTGGTCGCCGTCCTCAAACTTTTATGTTTTATCCAGATTCATCCCGCTCGGTCATATCTTGTCCTCTCCGACTCATTGAGCGGACTCCAGTCCTTGACACAATTCTATCCACTTGACCCCTTCGTACAGGAGATTCTTCTCCGTTTGACGGCTCTCGACCGAGAGGGTACCTCAGTGACTTTTTGCTGGATTCCTAGCCATGTTGGTATAGCTGGCAATGAGCGGGCGGACCGTGCTGCGAACCATGCGGCGCGGCAGCCCTGCTCCCGCCGGTTCCCTCTACCGGCCAGGGACTCTTTCCCTGCGGTGAGCTCATTCTTCCGCGGAAAGTGGCAGGAGGCTTGGAGCAAATGTCAGACAAACAAGCTGCTACGCATCAAACCGGGTTTGGCAACCTGGTTGTCTGCGTCACGCAAGTCGCGTCGAGAGGAGGTCATCCTCTGTCGGCTTCGCACAGGACACAGTTTCGGTACCCATGGACACCTTATTGGCGTCGGCCCAATACCTGTTTGTGCGAGATGTGGCGACAGACTTTCCGTCCGACACGTTTTTCTGGAGTGTCCAAGACTGGAAGCTGAGCGGCTGAAATTTCTGGGCCTGCGCGGGGCCCAGCTTTCTTTGAGAGCAGTCTTAGGTGACGAGTCCTCTTTGCTTGACTCTTCTCGCCTCTTTTCGTTTATTGCGGCCTCCGGCCTTCAGGTGATTTTTAACGCCCGACACTGAGGAAGTCAAATAAGAAATGGGCGCGATATAGCCTCGCAGCTAGTGCGCCCTGTCACTCCAAATCATCATCATCAACATCTATAGGGATAAATTTAAGATACGGGAGTCCCGGATCTGCCCAATACATGCTATGAAGCTGGTAGATGGGATTAGGAAGGTCCTAGCTTTTTAATAAATTTTAATGCTATCCAAAGATATCGCATACGATTTTTGCATCGTGAGTCGTACGCGACAGGACGAAGGTTCTGCATAGGTTTGAAGAAGGATTCAACTATCCTGATGATGGAAAGGACGGATTCACGGAACAGTTGGAAAGTGTGCCACTGCGTCAAATCACCAATCTGCCCTGGCATTGTCTCGAGACAGAGGTCACACGTGAAGGTCGCTGAGAGTGGGGCCGTGAAATTTTGGACCAGGTGTAAACATGATAAACTGGGAGGCGATTTGTTATGATGCGCTACGCCTTACGCGGGTAATTTGTGAAAGCCGGATGGGTTCATTTTTTTCTTCTCTTTTTGTTGAGAGTGGGTGTTGTCGCCGCCGCCCTCCATTACGCAGTTGTCAAATTAGTCCATGTATTTCAACTGGTTTTCTGAAAATGTAGAAAAACGCTATCAATTGCGATGAAGATAAACATAAAGCCATAAACACATACACAATTTGGACTATGAAACAATGTTACAAGAATACAATAGGCTGGTTGTTTCAAATCGTTTCACTCACGGATTGTTTCAGCTCAGGCTCTTGGGCGACAACTTGCATTTATCGTTCCCTTTTCGTTTCGTTTCTTCAATTTTGCTTCGTATTTTCGTTCGTATTTCGTTCGTTCGCTTCGTATTTCGTTCTTTCGAATCAACAGAACAGAAGACAAAGATAACTTAAACAACACAAATCTAACTTAAACTAACATATCTCAGCCTACTTAATATTTTCTTTTGACTATAAATCGCGAGACAGAACTGGTAAGCAAACAAAACGATGGAAGGTATGTGCAAAACATGCCTAATAACTTGCATCTTGACGAATAAATTTATTTGCGGATTCGGCACTAACACCCGGCCCATTTGATGTCCTCGGTCATCAAATCATTGTGTCGCCGATCCTTCTGTTATTTTCACCAGCTTGTGGATGGGCCGCCAGAAAGTACTTCCCTGTGATCGTACTTTTACCGACCTGACTCTTCCATCGGAACTTTCCTTCGTGACCTCGATCACACCCAGCGGCCACACACCTCTTGGGACCAAGTTGTCAACAATGAGCACAACGTCTCCTTGCCGTAAGTTGTCGTGGCTCCGCGTGCACCTCCCGGCCCGTTGCTGAAGCAGGGGAAGATATTCGTCCCGCCAGCGTCTCCAGAATTGCTCAGCGAGATACGAAGCCCGTTTCCAGCTCCTTCTGCTGAAACTATCTTGATCGGATGCGACCAGGGCATGACAACAGCTCTCAACTGTAGCATGTGGTTTGGCGTCAGAGGTAACTGGTCGCGAGGGTCGCTGGTGACCGGGATCAGAGGCCGGTTATTCATGATACTCTCAGCTTCACATAGGAATGTGTAAAGTGTCTCGTCGTTGAACGTTTGCTCTCGCAGTAGAGCGCCCAGAATTTTCCGAACACTCCTAATCAGCCGCTCCCACGCTCCACCGAAATGGGAGCTCCCAGGAGGATTCCAATGCCATTCTATGCCGCGATTGATTGCTTCTCTGAAAATTTTGGAGTCTGATTCCATCAGCATATCCACTTCTCTCTTCAGTTCGCGATCCGCCCCGACAAAGTTCGTCCCGTTGTCGGATCGCATGATGCGAACATGTGACCCGCGCCGTGCAATAAAGCGCCGCAAGGCACAGATAAATGAATCAGTCGACAGGCTTTCAGCTACCTCGATGTGTACCGCGCGCATGGCTAGACAGGTGAAAATGACTCCATAACGCTTCGCTTGTGCGCGTCCTCTCCTGGTGTAAAATGGTCCAAAGAGGTCCACTCCGGTGCTCTGCCATGGATGCTCTGCTTGTCGATCTCTGTCTGAAGGGAGGTCGGCCATCTTTTGTATCTCCACAGGCCGCATACGTCTCCGGCAGCTGATGCATTGTAGGAGACATCTCCTGACTGCCGCGTTGGCCCTGATGACCCAGAATCTCCTCCGCAAATCGGCGAGTACGTGCTGTCTTCCCTCGTGTCTAACCTTCTCATGAATGTCCTGTATGAGAAGCTCCGTCACTCTTACCTCGCTCGGCAGGATCAAGGGATGTCTGCCGTCATACTCCAGATCGGTGGCGTGCTGTAAACGGCCTCCCACCCTCAGCAGACCGGCATCGTATTTGGGATCCAAGGAGACGATGCTGCTGGACAACCGTACTTCCTGACCCGATTGAAGCCTTTTCATCTCTTCCGCGTACGACGCGGTCTGCACCTGCTGTACAATGACTCGTTCAGCTGAATTCAATTCGCTTAAGTTCAACTCGAGCATTGAAGCTGAACTGTCCCTGTTCAACAGTTTCGAAATGACACGTCGTATCCAAGCAACACCCCGTTTCAAGCGTTTCCATGACGAATAATACGCTGCTAGCGTCAGAACCAGACTTTGACCTCAATCTCGTTTAGATTTTCTTGCAGTTCTGGCAGCCGGGGCCATTGCTCTTGCTGTTGGAATAAAAAATGGGGTTCATGTCTCCACAGTCCACATGTTTTGTTCCATCAGGGTGGTAACATTGTATCCGCGTGACAGCAAGTCGGCAGGATTTTCTTCCGACGGGACCCATTTCCACTGGTCAACCGTGGAGCCATCCCTAATAACTGCCAATCGATTGGCCACAAACACGTGGAACCGTGCCGTCTCATTTTGTATATAGTTACTTGAGAATCGTGGTACTATCGGTCCAAAAATAAATACGTGGTCGAACATGGAACTGCAAAGCTCTTTCGATTTCCAAATTGACCTTGACGGCGAGTGTTAACGCGGATAGTTCCAGTCTTGGAACTTTCAGGGGCTTGATAGGAGCCAGGTGGGATTTGCTGAGCAGCAAACAGCAGGATATCCCGCCATCCAGGCCTTCTGCTCTCAGATAGGTAACTGTTCCGTACGCTCTTTCACTAGCATCTGAAAAATGGTGGAGTTCCAATACCTTGGCTTTCGCTAGACCACCCGGACAAAGGCATCTCGGGACACCATACCGGTCGATAATTGTCAGGTCCGTCAGCCACCGTTTCCACTCCTTGCAGTGTCCAACGGGCACGTCTTGGTCCCATTCTAAGCGCAGACGAGTGAGGTCTTGCAACAGCATGCGAGCTTGCATGACAAATGGGGCAGCGAGGCCTAGAGGATCAAAAAATGCGGCCGTAGCCGACAGAATCCCCCTCCGTGTGACTGGCTTTTTGATAAATTTGTCCATCTCCACGCTGTAGCCAAATTTATCTGACTGAACGTTCCAACTAGCACTCAGGGCTCTATCCATGGGAGGGTGTCGGATACCAAATTCAGATTTTGAACCTTGGGCGATCGGTCGTTGTCCGGAATCGAACCCATCACCAATGAGCTGTTACTTATGAATTTTGTGAGATTGAAGCCTCCTTGTGAACATAGCAGCCTGAGGTTGGATGCCAAGTTTATGGCATCTTCTTCTGTCCTTGTCGTTACGAGACAGTCGTCAACATAAAAATTCTCCATGACTGTCCGAGCCACTTCCGCTTCATACGACGATCCGTGTTCTAAAGCCGTACGGCGCAGGGCAAAATTTGCACAGCTAGGTGAGGACGTTGCACCGAACACGTGAACGGTCATTCGGTGTATTCTCTGGGATCCACCGTTATGTCCCCATTAGGCCACCGTCCATAGGAAACGCAAGAAATCGCGCTGAACTTTAGGAACCTTCACTTGCAAAAACATTCCCTCAATGTCTGCCATCAATGCGATAGGCTCTTGGCGGAAACGTAGGAGAATATCTGACAAATAATTTGCAAAATCAGGGCCCTGTAGCAGTTCTTGGTTCAAGCTAGTGCCCTTAAACTGACAGGCACAGTCAAAGACTACACGAATTGTATCCTTCTTCAGTGCATTCTCAACTCCATGATGAGGCAGGTACCAAATGCAGCCCTTCTTTTGGCCCACATTTTCTGGCACAACTTCAGCGTACCCCCTTTCTAACAGTTTCTCCATCTGCCGTGTATATTCTGCCGCGAATGCTGACTGGCTTTGAAACTTTCGTTTCAGCTGATCAAGGCGCTTATAAGCCGTCACCTTATTGTTGGGTAGGTCAGGCTCGACATGACGGAAAGGTAAGGCCATCTCGTACTGGCCATCGCGGCTTACACACGATGATTCAACAATGGAACACCATCTTACATCTTCTGCGGACGGACCCACCTTGTATTCGGCTCGGTTACCGTAGCCGTCTTCATTAAATGTAGCGTGTATTTGGTTCACTTTGAAGCGACTCGCCGAGGCTCTCTCTGCACCTCCCAAAACCCAACCATATCTGGTCCTTACGGCGAATGGACCGCCGTCCTGACCGGGAATGACTTCAATCGGCTCCATAGCCGCTGACACGTTAATTCCGAGAAGAAGGCCTACTTCACCCTCGACTCTTTCCTCGATATGCACTCCTCCGTCCAATAGATATTGCCACTTGCTTGTATCGACTGATGTTGGTGCATCGTCGCTAGACACGGGGATTCTGTTCAGAACAAACAATGGAGGCAGTTCTAATCTGTGATTGTAATCCAAGTCTTCTATCACGACATGACAAACGATGCATGTATCCAGTTGCTGATCAGCACTTATGGTACTGGTAGACAAAGTGACGGACGCGCGTTCGAGCGAAGGAGCACGCAGTTTTTCAAGTAACCGTTTTGACACAAACGAGTGGGTGCTCCCCGAGTCCAGAAATGCGGAGGTAAGGGTTGTGACACCAAGCAAGCTAACACGCACAGGTACAACCTGTGACTTCGCTCCGCCCCCGGATGCCAGGTGTATGTAATGGTAGGTAAACAAACAAAACGATGGAAGGCATGTGCAAAACGTGCCTAATAACTTGCATCTTGACGAATAAATTTATTTGCGGATTCGGCACTAACAGTGGGTACGACTAACCTGCAATGGAATTTAATTTTACTCCTAGGAGGATGGTTAACAATCATCGCGGATACACGTATACGCGAGGCACTGGTTTACTCCCAAACCTCCGTTTAATTGTTTTCAGTGTGGGGTCTGATAGGTGGGGATAATGGTTCTGTCTAGCATCCAAAAAGAAAGCATCGCCCTGGGTACGTGTCGACCACAACTTTAAATGGACAACTGTTGTTGATAATGACCCTTTGTGGTATGACAGTTTGACGTTTGTGAAAAGCGATAATGTGAACACATATATATTTCGTCTCCGTTTTGTATTTTGTGTGTTTTATTTATATATTTGCACACTGATGAAGTGATATCGAAACCGGTTTGTGCAATATATATGTGTTCACATTATCGCTTTTCACATAATGACCCTTTGTTGCCATCTCCCCGTTCGCGAATCCTGAGGTTATGCTCCCTCACTGAGGCTCTTAAGCAGGTTATACAGGGTGATTTTTTACAGGGCAAAAGGTAAAGGGCAATGGCGGTACCAGAAAACACATCAACTGCATTAAAATATATTTTTTGTAATAAAAACATTTTGACATTTTATCTCCACACAGAAAAAATTTTGAGGTTCAGCTCCGTTCAGGCCTACAAAGCGTGCTCGAAGTGTGCACCGTTTTCATGCACGCAAGCCTGGGCTCTTCTTCTAACGTGTTGCGTTGCTCGGATGAAAGCGTCCTCACTAAGTTCAGCAGCAAACCTATTCACAACCAACTTAAGCTCGTTTATGGTCGAGGGGCGACTCTTTGACACCTCTTGCATTGCTGCACCCCAGAACCAGAAGTCGAGGCAGGACAGATCGGGGGACTTAGCCGGCCATGCATGATGCATTCCTCGGCTTATGACTCGTCCATTGAAAGACGCATCCAGCCAATTTCTTGCCGGCATATGGGGTGGAGCCCCGTCCTGCTGAAACCAGAGGTCGTTCTGGTTACGTACTTGCGGCCACATGAAGTCCTTCAGCATATTCAGGTAAACATCTCCGTTCACTGATTGGTCACGTTCAAACCAGTGCACCAGCACACGTCCCCGGAAAACCGCTGCCCAGCACATCACCTTTTCGCCGCCTTGTTCCCGGCACGGCAGGAATACCTTGGGGTCACTTGCAGCCCGGTAGCGCTCGTTTTGACGATTAGGTTCTTGTCGGAGGTAGAACCACTTCTCGTCCGACCAGATGACGCGATTCGGGAAGTCCTCGGGTAGCGACAGCAGCCACTCGCAGAACACTTTCCGCGCTTTTTTGTGCGTGACTGTGAGGATGTTGGTTTTCTTCCCCTTATAAGGGTACCAATGAAGTCGTTTTCTCAGGACTGTCCATACGGTACTGAAGGTCAGTTTCAGGCTAGCAGCAATTTCGCGGATGCTAGTGTTGCTGAGCTCCTTGGCCTCCACGTAGGCTTTGACCCGGGCGACAGTCAGCTCCGAGATGGCTTTTCGCCGGCCAGCAGTCTTTTTCGGGTAGGGGGAACAAACACGCTCAACAAACTTCTGGAATACCTTCCTGGAAGGTACCTTATGTGGGGTTTTCTCAAATCGGGTGCGAAAGTTTCGCCTAAGTATGGTGATGTTTCTCACGGCTCCATACTCGAGCACGACCCAGCGGTGTTGCTCTTGAGTAAAAGGCGATTCTGGGGAGGACATTTTTTTTGGTGCCATTTTCGGGGAACTTCATGACAGAATGAGTCCCAAGAAGTCTCTAAAAGGTCCTGAAAACAAAATGACAAACAATTTTCTTTCACGTGGATATATTTTTATCGCGTTTGTTATATGTTTTGGTACCTCTAGGCTTAAAAACTTTTTGCCCTATAAAAAAATCACCCTGTAGAGCATGAGGGATGTGGGTTCCGCATTTTCAAGCAATAGTTGTCAACAATTGATTATTGTTTTGCCAAAACAAATTAGCATATACGGCAGTTCAGTGTACTTTACGGCCGCCTGATGTGCCCGTTGTTGCGTTTTCGCAACGCTGACGGCGCCCGGTGTGCCCCTCGTTGCGATTTCGCCACGCACGTTTTTTACGTTTTTGTCGAAAAACTTTTGCTGCAGGCAGAAATTATTTTCGATTCCTTGCAAGGCCCTGGTAGGAGCATAACATATTTTGATTTCATCGATTTTCATGATGGTCAATATTCCTGAGCATAAATGGGTTAATTCATGAAATAACATTACATTTTAATGCAGAAATGGCCCCGGACAGCCTGGTCCAATGATTGACGGTATTGCTCTCTTAACATTGCATGTATCTGTTGCTTCCGTAGGCGCCAAGAAAATGAGAAGTTCAACACTGGTGCGAATCTTCTACTGTTTGCGCTAGACCCCTTGAGGCCCTAATTTTTCGCGATTATTTGTGAATGCGTGGAAGAATTTCAACCATAATTAGGAAGTGGCCGTTTGAAGACCTGCCGAAACTTTTACTTTCCATACATTTTGTTGTCACTCAA